ATATATATATATATATATATATATATATATATATATATATATATATATATGTATAGGGTGTCCATAAAGTTCGTGTGCACTTTAAAATTTTATAACTTAATGTGTGCTTGCGATAGAAATAATTTGTTAAAAGGTTTCGAAAGAAGTAAATCCATATTTTTTTAAAGTTCTATTGAAATTTTATTTAAGTTTCCACAAGTCCTCCATCATTAGCAATACAAAGGGTTATACGATTTTGCAGTTCACGGAAAACATTTGCCAACTGATTTACAGTAATGCCTGAAATCACATAAGTTATTTTAGCTATACTTAAAACTAGGTACATTAAACTTTATAACATTTTTCACACATTATTTCTATCACAAATACAAATAAAAGTTACAAATTTTTTAAAGTGCACACGAACTTTATGGACAGCCTGTATATATATATATATATATATATATATATATATATATATATATATATATATATATATATATATATATATATATAGACAGAGAGGGGGAGGAAAAATGACTTTGAGAAAGAGATACAGATGCTGATGCTTATGTGTACATAGGAATCAATACTGTATGTTATCTGTCAGTTTCACTACTCAAGCAATCTTCAGACCATGTTATATATACGCACATAGATAGGTACACACACATATATATATATATGCGTGTGCGTGTGTGTTTTTGTGTGTACTAAATTATGTACAACTGTTTTCATTTTCCTCTCTCTGTGTTTTGTGTTTGTATTCTTGATTTCCTTAGAACAAATTGGCCACGAATATTCGAATTAATTTCAAAATAAACATTTAAAAATAAATAAGCAACATATTTTTAAATGAAAAATTAATTTTATGAATAACATGTTTACTGCATTCCCTTCTGCTTTCCCTCCAGCAACTTTATAATTCAAACTGATTTACCTTTTACAGTCTTCAGGGGAACTGAAATGAGTTCCACGCAAAGAATTATCTCATAATCGATAATTACGACGTAGGAATGTATATTTCCAAATCAAGTTCTATCAGTTTTGTCTAGTCACAACAAAACCTTCACAAATTCGATCTACGATTAATTGCGGCCCTATCACGTTAAAACAACGATCACCGGAGTTAGGCTACGTTGAGTTTGGGTAATACCTAGGTCGGTTACCGCTTGGGATTACTGTAAGCTTTGTTCAGGTGGTGTGATAGATAATGGCTCGGTATGAGAAATCGGAAAGCCGAGTTCGAATCCCAGTTGACGCCGTTGCAGTTAGGAAATATATGAGTCTATCTCACCCGCAGGTTAAACAAAAGCACAGATTAGATTATATAGCCTTGGTTGGGAACCAGTCTACCGCAGAATGTAACGGTATCCTACTGTGTGAATGCTTCGGCCTAGTCAGTCATCAATCGAAAAGAAACATAATCGCCCAAAAGGACATTACTTATGACACCCGTGGAAGGAATTATCCTGATAGAATATTACGAATCCCACCTTAATTTTGGTATTTTTAAAAAAAATATTTTATATTGCAACGTGTAACTCAAATAAATTTTATTTGGATTCAATATAATAATATAATAAACTTATATGAAACAGTAAAATCTTGTTTCATAGCGGCTTTTATTGCTTTGTTTAGTGAAATAAAAAAAACACAAAAGGGTTCTTTTACAATGCAATAAACCCATTAGTGGCTTATCGTAATAAATAATTTTATTTAAATGAGAATGAACTGGGATCAAATATGAATTAAAAGTCGACAGAATGATAAGATAAAGAATAAAAGCAAACTTTTATGAATTTATCATGTGTAGCTTTTACTTAAGTTTAAAAAAAATAAAAATTCTGATAGTTTTTTTTATTCTTGTGTTGTTTGTTTTTTATTGATTAAGCAGGCTTCACGTGTATTTGTCCTGTCAAGCATCGTTCGTGTGTATAATTCTTGTGCATTTGTGTATTATAATTCTAGTTGGTCTATATTGAATTTGGTTGATAATGCGCGTGCATTTGTGCGTCTGGTGGGCATTTTTATTCATGTCTGATAGTGTGCATATGTTGATTGGTGGGTAGTATTTTGTGTGAGAGTGAAAAAATTTAGGTTATATTAGTTGCGCTTCTAGGTAGATAGACCGTAGATTCTTTAAATATGGACTTTTATAAAAGTTGGTGATATAATATGTGCATTTGGCGTGTGTTTATTGAAGAGAAAATATTTATCAAGATTCCTTTTAGATATTTTCTACATAATAATTCTTTACTTATTAAAGTGGCATTTATTAAATCGAAGTTATGATCTGTTTTATTTGCGTATGTTTAGAGTGAGTTCAAAGAACTGTCCTAACGTAAGTCTCTCTTAATGGATTAAGGTGAAATTTCTGTGCCTTCCACGGTAAATTTACGTCCAGGATCATACATGTCACCTTTCTGAATAAAATTGCTGCGGTTAATGTGGGGACTTTACAATCATTAGCGATAAATAAAAAACACAAAAAGAAATCTGAATGATGTCGACTATGTTG